TTATAATTTTGCTAATATAGTAGAGTCAAAAAAAATCATTAGCAAATATCTTATTTTTTTATAAAACTATATATAACAATAATGTAATTATAAAGATTTTATTTATTTATTTTTTTTTTTATAGTTAAAGTCTTTATCTTGGGAATGCAATATTTTATTCAAGTTTTGTTAGAAAATAGATGCCTCCAAGGGCTCCCTTACATTGGAGGTTACAACTAGCCGCACATGCACTTTTGGTGTCTAATTTAAGTAGTTTGCTTACACATTACTATATAAGTTTTATACTAGTTGTCATACCTGCAAGCTGACTAGAGGTCTTGCCTATTTAAACCCTTTGTATATGAAATCCTCCTTGTATTGCAAGAACATCTTAAGGCTACACCCATCCAAGTTCCTAATGCTTATCATTTATAAAGATTTTATAACATAAAAATAGAATACTTTATTATAATAATACTACTTTAGTTAAGTAACAACAGTTACAAAAAATTTATATAAAAACATAAAAACAATTATATATTTAAAATAATTATATAGGGGTGTGGCAACCTAGTGAAGTGGTCAGGTTGTCAACCCCTCAAGTAGTAGGTTAGATGTTCAAATCTTATCGATAGTAAAAATTTGAATAATTATCTATATAATATTTATATTACAGCAACTGTTACTAATGATTGTATTAGGATACTTGTAATAATGGTTGCACCAATATAACTGGCAAGTTATAGGGCATCTGTGCAATATTAAAGTTATACAAAAGAATGCAAACTGACAAATTAGGCAGTGCAAACCCTAGATAAGTCCTTGTGGCTATGTAAGCCTGTTAAAATTAGGTAACAAGAAGTTTATTTAAAAGATCTGAGTAGAGAAGTAACTAGATCTTTGATAGCTCTACTGTAAAGGCTAGCTCAGTGAAACAAATACCAAAGTCTAGTATCTAGTTGTAGTAGCCAGATAGCCAAGAACCTCTAGGTTGGAAGTTTTAAAGATATCATTAACCAGGCCACTAGAATGAACTGAAGGAAAAGGATATTAGGCTAATCTGATATACTGATAGACTGGTTATAGTCCTATATAGGCTATTTGAATTGGGAGTTTAGTAAAAAGCAGAGGAAAAAGAAGATGTATACTAAAGTACTGGAGTTATGCTATGAAGTAGATGCTGAGGTCTAAATAAACTCTACAAGAACATAGCGGTTTAATGATTAGCTATAACTACAAGTATTAGTTCTGCTATAGCAATACCTAGGTCAGCTATAAAAATGAATACAGAAGGCTCTAGGAGGTTTACTTCAAGAATAAATTAGTCCTAAAGTTATTATGATGATCTGAGCATCTGAGTATAACACAGTAAGTTAACACAGATTATAGGTTTAGAGAGTTTAAAATAGAACACCCAAGCAGAGGTGTTAGGTATAGCAATTAATAGAAAACCTTCAGGCAGACTCTTTAAATAGGTAATATAGAAAAGTTATACATGTAGCCAATGGTACACTTTCCTGTAGTAGTTCATTAAACTACAATACTGATAAGTAATTAACAAAACTTAAAAGACTAAAGAGGTCATCTTAATACTAAAAAATAAAAATAAAAATAAAAAAATAAAATAATTATATAATTTCTTTATTTAATTATTATAATTTTAGAAGTATAGTGACTTAATGAAATGAATAAGTTGTCAATTCCCCAAGTAGTAGATAGTAAGTTCAAATCTTATTGATAGTAAAAATTTGGATAATTATCTATATAATATATAGACAGTATTATAGTGACAGTATTCTGTCAATCAGTTAAATAAAATATCTGTAACATAGTTGCATCAGCATAACTAGCAGATCATGAGGCATCTGTGCAATATTGAAGTTACACAGAAGAATGCAAACTGGCATCAGGTGGTACAAACACAAGATAAGTTCTTGTGACTATGTAAACTTATAAACTAAGAAGCCAGAGCCTACTTGGAAAGACCTAAGTAAAGAGATAGCATGTATCTTTGACAGTACTATTGTAAAGGCTAGACCTATGAAACAGATATTAATGTAGAAGGAATCAGGCAGGCAAGAACCTCAGATAAGAGATACTACTAACCAGGCTATTAGAAGTCTCATACTGAAGAAAAAGAACCTTGAAAGGCAGACCTTAGAGTACCAGAGACAGGTCATAATTCTATCAGACTAACTGAATTAGAAGTTTAGACCAGAAGTAGGAGTATATTACAAGTACTAGAGATATATTGTGAAGTCAGTTCTAGGGTTTAGATGAACTTTACAAGGGCAAGTCCTGTTAGCAAAGATTAAATATAAGTAGTTAGCTAGCAAGGAGGCTCTCTAGAGCTTTACAGTCAGATGACATACTCTAAAATGTGTAATATTTTGATGAATGTATAAACAAAAAAGTCAAGGTTAGGTTAGAAAACATTTATTTAGATGTACAGAAACTTGTATGATATCTGCTAATATAGTATAGAAGTAACCTTGTACAAGTTATATAATCATAATTGAATTCACAATAAAGGCAGTAGCCACCAATAACTAATGGTCTTAGCAAAAGCAAAAAAAAAAAAAAAAATTATTATAATTTTCTGTATGTTATTTATTTAAATTATAGCTCGACTAATATAAAAATAAAAATAAATATAACTTGCTTGAGTAATATTACTATTAATATCAATATTTTTTTATTTTTTTTATTTTAATATAAATTAATTTTGTTTGTATTATGGCTTATAAAACTTTTTATTATAAGCTGATTGTCATGCAAAAACTTGTATTATAGAATTTTTTTTATCAATATTATCACTAAACACAATATAAGTCTATTGTCATTGCTTATAAAATTTAATTTCTTAATTCTGTATATCTAAAATACTTGCTAACAATTGATTAGATGAACTTTTATAAAATATACATTTATATTTGCATTTTGATGCAGAATAATAATGTATATAATTTTTAAATATTGTATAAAATTAACTTTTTTATAGCAGAAATTGATACTGTTTGTTTTTCTAATTATTTAAATTCTTTTAGTAATTGTTTGTGAATATAGTAAACTAAAATTGTTTGTTGTATAGTGTCTTTAGGCAAAGTATTAAGATTAGAATGTAAAGCATTGTATTTTATAACAATGTTGAGATGTCTTTTTAGTTCTCATATATATTATATTCAAACTTTAAAATGATAACCATTAAAGTTACTTAAAATAAAAGAATATCTTAGATTTTTTATTAATTACTAAAATTTTTAATAAATAATATACCATAAACAGATCAACTTTTTAAAAAAATAGAAGATGGGTTTTAAGGTAAAAAGATGGGGTTTATACAATAATTATATTAGTTTTATTAGATTTGAAGATCATTTTGATAGATGCATCATTTAGTTAATATGTAATAATTATTAATTATTATAATAATTACTAGTAGAGGCCTGCAAATTGTCTATTTTTGAGGCCCGGCCCAGTCTGCATTTAGGGTTAAAATTTTTTTTTGGCTCAGCCTAGCTCGCATTTAAGGTTAAAATTTTTTTGCCGACCTGGTTCAACCCACATATATCAAATTTTTTCTTAACGTTAAGCCCAACCCGACCTGGCCTGGCCCCAAAATTTTACAAATTTTTCAACCCAGCCTGGCCCGCAATTATAAAATTTTCAAAATTTTCAGCCTGACCCAGTCTGCAATTATAAAATTTTGCTTCAGGCCTGGTCTGGCTCACAAAAATTTGCAGGCTGAACTGGGCTGGGCTGTGGGACCCAATGCAGGCCTCTAATCACTAGTAATTCAGAGTTCTTAATTTAGATCTAATTCCAAAAAGTCGCAGTAATAATAAAGTATAATCTTTAACAATGAAAAAAAAATTTTAAAAAATAATTAAAGTTGTAATATTACATTAAAAACTATTCACATATTTAAAGATTTATTGATCTCAATATATAAATTATTTAGTACAATATAAATTAAATCAACAATTAAAAAATTTGTACTGTTATTTGTTATAATTAATACTTAGTTTCAAATTGCATTTTATGTTTGTAATTACTTTGAACTTTTTCAAAAATTTTATAAGAAAGAACAGAAAGTTAAATTATCTAAAACTATTAAAAAATTTGTAAATATTTTTAATGTTTTTGAAAAAAATAAATGAATACAAATTTTATTTAAAATTTATTCATTACTATGTTGAAAGATCTTAATTTTTTTAAATAAGAAAATAATCATATAATTCCATTCATTAACAATCCAATTTAGCAACTCAATGTTTATTAGTTATAGAAAATTTAATAATTTTAGAAATAAAGTAAATTTATGTATTACAAACCTCATACGTATTTAATACATAGTATGTTTCAAATAGCTTTTGCTGCAATACACAAAAAATTTAATAATTATTTTTTTTCGCTATCATTACTGTAATATAGATTTAACATTAGTTGAATTTAATAATTTAGATGAATTTTGAAAAAAATGTTATCTTCTTTTCTAATTTAAGCAATATTACTTAGCTTTATATTTTGTTACCTAAAATTCATTAAAAATGTTAAATATGTTGTATTTTAATTAATGCAAATAATAATTTTAATAGAAAAATTTTTTTCGCGATTTTAAATATGTACGTTTTAAAATTTTTTAATCCAAACATTTGCTGATATCCAAATAAAGATCTATGATTTGATATCCAAATTTTTACGTGTCCCTGGCATTCCCAGGCGGTTGAAGTGTAATTTCAGGCAGTCGATATAGAATATTTATTTTCGATCGATTTATAGATGATCGATCACATGATCGATCAAAAAATTCACTATATCTAACGCTCAAAATCAAATATCTGAATATAAAAAATAATAAGCATTCATTTCATATAACGAAGAATCTCTAATTCCACAAGAGTTAAAAAAAAATAATTAGCATCAAATTTCTTTTTTTCCTTCAATTTGCTTAGGTTTAAAATGATTTAGAGTTAACTTTTTTTATAGTATTACATAATATGACTACGTATATCATTTAATCAATTGGCATTCAAACTTTAATAATAAATATGTATAAATTACTTAAAAGGAACAGTTCCGAGTTTTATTTCTAAAATATACCCAGAACAAACAAAACAGAACGCCATCATTCGTATAAAAGAAAAATGAAAAACAAAAAACAGCAATTTACAAGTTTTATGGTACAAAAAAAAAGTGCAAAGATTTGAAAAAAGAAAGAATAAATGTTCTTTAATATGTAATGAATTCTTATTATCATATTCGAGCATTAATATTATTATTCTAAGTTTAGACATTTAAATGAATCAAAGTCGCAAACAGTGATTATATAAAGTTCAATCAATCGTCTTCTTCATCATCCTCATCTTCTTCAGACGTTACATAATCTTCCATATCATCATCAATGTCTTCGTCGCCGTCCGAAGCGTACCAAAAATTTTCATCATGTTCATCCTCAGTATGACGTTGTTTTTGAACAAAATCATCGGCTACAAAATATCAAAATGCATTATAATATTAGATTAATTATATCAATTATATTAATTTAATGTAGAATAAAATCCTTACCACTAGTAGGTATCTTTAATCCCTCAGGAATGTCTTTCTTTGAAGCTTCAACTTGAGCTATTTTTAAATATGATGAGTAATATTGTTACTATATAATCAGTAAAAAAATTTTTTTATTACTTACATCGGACAATAGAATTATAAGACTCCCGATCTTTACGATACATAACCTAAGAATAATAATAAAATAGTAATAGTTAATAGTAATGATAATAATATCAAATATTCGAGACATGTATATATTTTATCATATATATAATAAAAAAGCTTACCCCAGCATCCTAAAAACAAAACAAGAGAATGTTAAAAATAATTTAAAAGATTAACGAATGTCATATTTAAAATTTTATTTACATACCACATTAGCGGGGCTAGAACAATTTGGGTCACCCATAAGGCTAACAATGCTGATCAAGATACCTAAAATGACAATGAGATTAATATATTAATATAAAAATAGATTAACTTAAAAAGGTAATCAATAGCGAAATCAAATAAACACTAACTTTCAACACTTTGAGTTGGATTCCAACGTTCCTAAGATTAAAAAATTTAAAAAGTAATAATTTTTAAAAATCTAATTATCAAAATAAGTTCAAAATCAAAAAAGCACATAATAAACAAACCGCAGCTGTCTCACCGCTGGTGGGATCGTCACCAGGTGGATGAAGAATAGAAATACAAAGTCGACCATCTTGGTAGACTATAAACGCATTTGAATCATGCGTTACGCAAAAAGATTATCCGATGATCATTCAAAGAAAACAATAACGAATAATTACAATAGAGAGAATTATTTCTTTTTTTTTTTTTCTTACCATTAGGATGAAAGAATTCATTGTTAAATTTAAAGGTTGGAGGATTATACGGGTAGTCATTTGGGAACTTGAGATTAGCCTTTTATTATCAAATTAATAACAATTGTTAAATTTGGAAAAGTTTAAACATCACGTGAAGTAAACTCGGTACCTTGAAGTAACCGCCTTCGTAAATCGTACCCGGAGCGCCTATGATGCCTACATCCCTGCATGGACAGGTATATAATATCATTAGCAAGAAAGTATTAAATAAGAAACATATTGAAATCAACGGGCTTACCATTCAAACACGTTGCCGTCGTCAGGCAGGGCAACCGTGAAACCAGGTACTGGATTACTTGTTAGCTCTACACGTTCAAGAATCAAACAAGGTATTTTTTAGAATATATAATCTCGAAATCTTTATTAAACTTACAAAAGCGACTTTTGTCGTGTATAGGTAAAAAAGGAGAGAATAGAAGCACCTTTAAACTGTTTCGTCAAGATGTTTGCAGCACTAGACATTGTGAACGGTCTTTACTTTATACGACAAATAAAAAGGGATTAAAAGTTTACTCCTTAGCGATGGTGTAAATTGGAAATCACAATTCAATTTTAGAGATATTTTTGATATGACAATTTTTTTTTTTTTTTTGTTTAAAAAAGAAGATATAAATTACACAACCGGGTTGAAAACAGATAGGAACTTTTTTTTTTATTGTTCTTATACACGTGACTATATGTGTTACGATAATATGGATTCTAAAACACAAGTTCTTGCGATTCCTAATAAATGAAAATTATTCAAAGTGTAAAAGTAGTGTAATGTTACACATCTATCTTGGCCCCGTTAATTATTCTCCTTATAGGAAAAAAAAATAATGACACCGATGCAGATTGATACACACCCATACGTTGTAATTTTTTTTTTGGTTATGCATTCTTTCGGTTATTAAGGGCCATGACGATCTAAGTGACAAAATAATGATTCGATATCATGTTATAAACGAATTACTTTAACTATCGCATGTATAAACATGCATACAAATTGATTAAAAATGTATTTTTATTTCTCTTGTATTATATATTAATCTCTCAATACCACAATATCACTTAGTATTATTTAATTTCATTTTACCATTTAATACTATAGTATCATTTATTAATTCCATACAAACTGTTAACAAAGTAACAAATTTAATAATAAAGCAATGAATAAAGTATCAAATAAAGTATCAAACAGGGTGTCAAATAAAGTATCAAATAAAATGATAAACAAAGCAAATCACCTTTTATGAAAGCATGTAATAATGGACAATGCCGTAATAACAACTTAACAAAAATGTATATTTTCCTTGTTAAATGCGTACAGCAACCTAAAATAGAGAAAGATATAAATAGAATAAACATATTAAAATAAAAAAAAAACCTTGTATTAATGTTATAAAATTATGAAACAATGCAAAAGCATACTTTAGAAAATCATCAACATCCATTTTTGCAGCCCTTGATTCAGCAAAACCAACAGATTTAAGAACATTAATAACTTTGTTCTTTATATCAAAATTTGCATCAATCATCTATGTTTTATTTTTAGATAAAAGATGATAAATAATTTATTCATAAAACTTTATAGAAATGATTCAATAACTACCATTTCATTTGCGGAGCAAAACGTTTTATAATTATTTTCTATTATATCTAAAACTGAAGACGTCTTGAAATTGGCAGAAAGTGTCTAAAAGAATTTCAGATGGTAAAATAATAATAGGTTATTGCTATCGTATTAACAGTAAAATAATCTATAAAAGCAGATCGTACGCTATAATATGCTTAAATCTGTTATAAATATGTTATAGATAATGTTATAACATGTTATAAATATGTTATAAGATAGGTTAACAAACCTTATTCTTCCTAACAAACACTATCCGCAACAAACCATCCCATTCTTTGAAATCAATTGGTGGTGGCGGATTACGTGGTTCGATTCGAACCACTGATGAATCAACTTGTGGAATAGGTTTAAAATTATTTTTTCCAATCTTTTAAGATATTTATAAGGTTAGTAATAAAACAAAAGTAAGAAGGAAAAGTAGGAAGTAGACATAATAAATAATTTTAATTGTAGTTGGCATTTAATTTCTACCTTCATTATGTGATCTACTTTTGCGTATAACTGGGTATTTACACTTAATCGACAGTATAAATTATCACCTGGTTTTGCAATTAAGCGTAAGGCAAACTCGCGCTGAAACATTAGTATAGCACATCTGAACAATGGCCGATGCTCGAGAAGTTTAAAGATAAGAGGTGAAGATATCTATATATTATAACAAAATGAAGAATTACTATTTATCAGAGTATTTATCAGAGTAGTGCTAACATTACCAACCTGATACGGTGTGTTGCTTATGCAAACATCAAAATATGGAAGATCAGTCTTTATAACATCACCCACCATTATATCCAAACGTCGTTGTTCTGGCCTGGACAATGAATAATTGAGAGATCAATGCTTAAGATTAAGAGATAATATATGTTTGAGATATAACGTACTTTCCTTGGACACGCTTTGCCAATTCAGCAGCCAATCTCGGATCAAGTTCTACCGCCACAACTTTTTTTGCATGTTCAAGAATTCTCGTTGTAAGATTACCTGTACCTGGACCTACTTCGAGAACAACGTCCGTGCATTTCAAACCAGCCTTTTTTTTATGATATCCAAGTTTGGTCAGAAAACATTTTAATAAATAGACTCACGAACTCAGGACAAACCGCAACCTTTTCAACGATGTTTTGAGCAATAAGAGGATTTTTTAAAATGTGCTGACCCAAATCTTTTCTGAACAAAGGGGCCATGGCCTTGGCAGGCTTTGACGTTGCTGCTGTCGAAGTGCTCACATTTTTAGTACTGTTGTGGGAGTATCCAAACTTTTGTGATTTAACCTTGGGCATGATATAGATCTTTAAATATAGCAATAGATATATGTAAGATGATAACGATAACAATAAAAATATTTTTTTTTTAATCAGCCAATTAGAATCATTCACTCAAAAAACATCCAATCAAAAATTGATCCATTGATCCATTTATCCACACGAATTACAGAATTAAAATTATCATAATTTCACCCGAATTATGGATTACACTTTTATTTTCTAAAGTCATCGTAAAATTGTAAAAAAGTAAAGCACATATGTTTCGTAATACTTTCCAGGTATATAGAAGTTTTACAGCATTTACTTTTAGTTAGAACTTGGAGTTTAATTTGTACTTTTAACAATCTAACATTTAATCTAACGATAACAGTCAGGATTTCTTTCGATTTTATACAGCATTGGGTAAGGCGTCTTAAAATTGAATTGAAATAAATCAAATTGAAAAGTAATAGTTTTTGGTAATGCAATATTGAATTGGATATTTAATATTAAATATATTCAAAATATAATTTTATATTTTAGTAACAAGCCTTTACAAATATGGCACACTGAAACGGATGCTAAACATGAAGAGAGTCATGTTTCGCGAGTGACGGACGAAGACATACATTCAATAGTCATAGAAGTAATTTCACCGAATGTTGCTACAACATATATAACATGCCCAGCACAACTGAATAGAACACTTGGGATCAAACTTCCGATTCTCGTTCTTATTGTAAAAAATTTGAAAAAATATTTCACATTTGAAGTCCAAGTAATGGATGACAAAAATGTGAAAAGACGATTTAGAGCATCAAATTTTCAGGTAATCACATTGCATCAAAATATTTATAGCAAAATATTATATAACTGTATATAACTTTAAAAAAAAACTGAAAGTAATAAATTTCATCATGCACCTTTAGGCGGTAACTCGAGTCAAACCATACATTTGTACCATGCCCATGCGACTAGATGAAGGATGGAATCAAGTTCAGTTTAACCTTGCAGATTTTACGCGACGAGCTTACAGTACGAATTATGTTGAAACATTAAGGGTACAAATACATGCAAATTGCAGGTTGAGGAGGATATATTTTGCGGATAGGGTTTACGCAGAAGAAGAATTGCCACCGGAAATGAAATTATGGTTACCGGTGGATAGGCAACACGAATAAAAAAAAGAATTTGTAAGATGAAATTCAAACATTTATTCATTCATTCATTCATTGATTTATAATAAAGTTAATTATATACAATGTAGTTAACGTTAATAATACAATTAATAATATAACACAGTTATACGTATACGTAACATAGTTAATAATAATAATAATGATAATAATAATAACATATCTGATATATAGTTACATATATACTAAGATATAAATATAAATACGTATAACATATCTGATAGTTAATTAATACGTATACAGTTAATACATAGTGCACAGTTATGAAGTTATTAATATCGATATCAATATACGTATAGTATACACTAATATGTACACATAATACATACGTAGCGATAGTATAGTTAATAATATGGTGAACATGTGATATTATTATGGGGCCCTTACCAATGACAACTACATTAGTATTACATTAGTATTTGAAACTAGCCGTTATGGTCATGTATGAATGGATCACTTACATAGAAATGTTTAAATAATAATATATGGTGCATGATTCGATAACCTATTTTTGAATCATATGTCCAAAGAAGTACCAAAGAAATACCGAAGGAGGTTATAGATTTCCAAATTTTAACTTTTTATTCAAATCAGTAAACTTTGATAAAAGAAAAACATTTCATTCATTTAAGTGTAAGTATTGGGCAAAATAATTTAAGTAAACTTATGACCGAATGACATTAAACTAAGCATTTGCATAACTATATGCCCGAATATCACAAAAGTAGCTAAATCATATTGTAGATTACATGAACATGAAGCGAGAAGCGAGAAGCGAGAAACAAATTACACGTTTTTTTTTTTTTTTTTACATTCTGTTATAGCTATATAATAAATTTTTTATTTATAACTCGTGAGCATTATTAGAAAAGTCAACTTGTGTTTCATAGAGTTCACATTATTTATTATTACATGCAGATAAAAAAAAATTATTTTAAAAAAACTCGAAAAAAATTAAAGGAAAAAAATGGATAATTTTTCATTGTCCGTCTTTGTGAACTTTTTTCATATAAAGATGCATATTTGTTTGAAAATTTTACGGTAATGCTATGTAGTGATACCTGGGATTCATTCATTACAAAGAAGCATTGAGGGCTGTAAGTTACGTAACATAAGTTAAGATTTTGGCAAGTATCTTCACAAAGTGGTACAAAATAAATTTGATATGTTTTTTTTTTAAAATTTGGTATATATAATAAGAATATTTTTTAAATTAATTCAAATTAATTTATATAATAAGAATAGTTTTTTTGGAGTAGCATGTCACTCTTTACGATAATTTTCGTAATTTACATCCCGAAAGATTGACAATAAAATGGAGTCATTGAAAAAGATTGTTGAAAGATGAATGGCAAATTCAGAATGGATTTTCTTTAAAGTGTAACATAATGAGGGCTGATGAATTCCGTTGTTTTTTATCCAGGATAAAAATCTCATTAGTAATTATAATAAAAATAGAATTGGTGTCTTGCTTAACATAAACAAAGGAGTTCGTTTCACCTAATCACGATCTGGATACGGTTAGTGTCTAAATATTTCACGCGACTTTCTTGCACAAAATTTTCGCACAACGTTTACAAGTTAACAACATTTACACACCAAGCCCCAAAGCAAGTCCGTGGCAAGTTAATCTTTACATTTTGAAAATATTTAAATATTATGAAAAAAACCAATTAGCTCTTTGTCATAACACGGATCAATTCTAAAGATGGTTGGATAGAAAAATTTATTGATGCGATAACGTACCTTGGTACTATAACCTGAAACATCTACTGTACAAACAATTTAAAGTAGATCGAAAAAAAAATGAAAATCTTGAGGTATCAGATAAACTCCTATTTTTATCTTTCTTGATCACGGGAAGTTTCTCAAGTTTTCAAGTCTCAAATTTTCAAATCCTTTTGATGTCATATTAGAATATGAAAATAATTACATATTTTACATATCCCACCCCTTTCTTTATCATCTTATTATTTTACTTATAGGCGAAAAAATAAACAATTAATGAAATTTCCTTTTAAAGTTTTCAATGTCATAACCTTATCTTGTTTATTACGTATGCAGTCGGTCTTCCTTTAGGACTAATAACGATAACAAGAGCATAATTCGCATAATTCGCATAATTCATAATATCGTAATACATTGCAAATCTTTAATTTCTAATTCTCTGTATTTCGATAGACATATCTCTGTAGAGTCGTTAATTGGAGATTTTCTAGTACATATACTGATCTAATATTGATATATGTTGATATGATATTGATATACTGACTGACATGAAACGAATAAAGAATTTGTTAACAATGATAAGAAAAAAAAGTGGTTGGTCTAGTTTTCCAGAGACTAAAGCAGTTGCCTATCGAATAGTTACAATTTCTTTAAACGCGTTCAGAAAATGTGAAACTTATAATTTTAAACGTTAACAAACCCTGAATTCGTTTACCTGTTTACTACCGTTTCATAAAACTTATAAAATTTGTCTCTTAGAACTTTCACTATCTGCTATCACTCTATTCTATTTTATCCTATTATATCCCGTTATCGCTATTGAGTTAGTTTCTGAGTAATTAATCACTAAATGAAAATTGTCAATTGTTTAAACTCCGAATTGAAACAATATATCTTACTATCAGAGTGACAGGTGATCTGACGCCTCACTAAACTGTTATTGTTTTTGTCCCCAAGCCTCAATGTTTAACTTCCGCAATTGTTTTTTTTATGTAACGCAAATTTAATTGACCGTCAATTTATACGTATTTCACTTTATACTATTGTGATGTGTTAGGGCTGCACGGACGATGTTCTTTGGTTCTCGGATTTTAGTTTAACTTATATGTGAATATATACACTCCAAATGGTATTGCATAAATTGCAAGATAAACAGATCCCTTTTTTTTTACCCCTTTTCTCTGCCGAACTTTATTTTTTTATCTTATTTTTTTTTTTTTTTTAATCTACTTCAGTTCTTTACCATATGATACTTATTATTAAAATAGATTATAAAAAGTATCAAGGGAAACGACTGAATTTTCATTAAAAAAAAAAAAAGAATTCATAGAGACCATTTTGCTTCCTAGCCTTGGAACAATTTTGGATATAGACTTAACAAAAATTTCATAATTATAATCGGGAGCTGGTCGCCCACTTAGAACCTTTTAAATTTATTTTTTCTATTTTTCTATTTTTCTATTTCTCTATTTCTCTATTCTCTAAAAGTACTACTAAATTTTTTTTCATTTAGTCAAATTCACTTTGATAATTCATATATTATAAAAAAAAAAAACATTTGAAAAACACTTGAATAATACTTGAATAAATACTCGAATGTTATCGATTATAACTCATTTATTAATAATATGACTGATTATACTCTCTCATCACCAACAACTCCTCGTGTTAGACGTTCAACAACACGAAATTATCGTGACTATACCTCGTTTGACGAGGCTGAAGAAAGTGACTATGATAAAAGACATAATAATAATAATGGTTCCATTATAAATGGTCCTGTTAATTCTAGGTGGAGAGCTAATAGTATAAACTCCACTTATACTCCTTCTTTCACTCAAGGAAGGAGGTTTGATATAAACGAACCTGATAGTAATAATAATAATTCTCGAAGAAGACGTGGAAGAAACTGGGAAACTGACGACGAACTATTCAAATCGAGTCATGTATGTTTTAATTCTTATAATTTATACCATCTATGCTATTATTTCTTTAAATTCTTGTTATCCCCTTTATTCTCTCTCTATTTTCTCTATTTTTGTTATTCTCTATTCTCTCTACTCTTGTTATTCTCTCTATTCTTGTTATTCTCTTTCTTTTTATTCTTTTTTATTCTTTTTATTCTTTCTTTTTATTCTTTCTTTTTATTCTTTTTTATTCTTTTTTATTCTTTTTATTCTTTCTTTTTATTCTTTTTTATTCTTTTTATTCTTTCTTATTCTTTTTATTCTTTCTTATTCTTTTTATTCTTTCTTTTTATTCTTTTTAAGATATTCTTTTTCTCTATAACATTGTAATTATAAAGTCGAATGGCCATTTTTAACCTTTTCTTTTTTCTTTTTTTCATTAGCGTAAGTCTCTACCTCCCCAACTACCCTCTCCAATATCTCCTCTATATTCTCCTCATAATACTATAGATGAATCAACCACTACAAGATCTCTACTTAATCTTCTCAACAGTGAACGTACAAAAAGGAGAGAATTACAAAAAGAATATGATTCAACTGCTGAAGCTTTACGCGAACTTCAACAAAAACATGATGATGATATCGCTGATATGGAATGTGATATCCAAGTCTTGAGAGATGCCCTATTAAAAGAATCAAAAGCTAACACTCAATTAAGTAAACTTCTCAGAGAAACTCGTGGAAAATTCTTAGAAGATATGAAATCTTGGGAAAAATCTTGGAATTTAAAAGTTTCAGAAATGGAAGCTCAAGGAAAAGAATTACAAAAAGCTTTTGATGATGCTTGGAATCACCTTGAGAAAGAAGAAAGAGAAGTCATTAGATTAAGAGAAGAAAATAATTCTCTACGCAAACAATTAAATAATAGATCAATTGATCCCCCTGTTATAAATAGATTAAATCTTGAAGATGTTAGAAAAGTCGGTTATTTGGAAGATAGAGATGATTTATCAGTTTGTACCGATTCTAAACATCCTACTGAATTTAATGAAATATCTGATACTGAATCCGTTGCAAATTATTCAAAAATCTCGGAATTAACTGATCGTATTTCTGAATTGGAAAATGAATTAATCAAATTAAAAGAATGTAATCAAAAATATGAATTTTTATTAAAAGATAAAGATGCTGAGAAACATTCTGCCCTTAAACAACTTGAAGAAAAGTATGAAAAAAAGATAAAACTACTTCATGCAAGCAATACTATAAATCAAAGTACCATCGAAAAATTAAGTCAAGAATTAAGAAAGGCTAAATTTAGCGAACGTGAACGTGACCCTCTTTCAAAACTTCAACAAAAACAATTATACCCCTTCCGTCCTCATACTCCTGTTAAACAATCTTCCTCAGAACAAGATGATTCACGTGTACAACAAAATAAACGTAAAATTTTAGCCGGAATTTCTAATAAAGAACGTAAAAATAGTTTGACTAGTACGAATAGTAGTAGTTTTGCGAGCGCTAGTAATAGAAGTGGTTGTGTTGAAGAAAAAGATGAGATTCCAAATGCTAACAATGAATATGTGGAAGGTGAACTTGAATCTGAAGAAGAGGATGATCATGATGATCGTTCTTCATCTTTATGTACCAGCAGCGAAGTTTGTGCTCAAAGTCGTCTTGGTAGCGAAGAAGCAACCAGCGTAACTGATCCGCATACCGAATGCCATGATCAATCTGATTCTTCTTCATTATTAAGACAACAACAACATAATCGTGTAAAAAATAATGAATCGGCTGAGGATGATATTTTGGATATGTTCCTTTCAGAGATTGAAGACTATCGTTTACCACCTAGAGGTCATTTTTCAGCTGCTGAGTTCACTGATGATGATGATTATACTTTAGATAAGTTTGATGATGTTTCTGTAAGTCGAAGACATAGTATTACAAGTAAATCGGGAATGGGAACAGAAGGCAGTGTGGTTTCAAAACTCAGTCAATTCTCGAATATCAGCAAAGGACAAATTAGTGATGATGATGGTATACTATAGAATCTGTGAATCTGTGATACTTTTTTCGAACATTATCTAATTTGTAATTTTCTGCCGTTTTCAATTATTTTAAGTTTATTTATGTTGTATATATAGTATGGTGCATTGTTTCATGTTCGTGAATACTTTTCACGATTCATTCATTTAGAAAATCTTTCTCTTTTTTTTTTTTTTTGTAAATAATATTGTATATTTTTTTTATCATATCAAAAAAAATGACGACACAGTGATGACACGTTTAGATGAAAAAAAAAAATTTTAAACATAGCATTTAACATTTTTATTTAGTTCATGCACGCATTCACACAAAAAAAAAAAAAACCAATTATATATGCACCACCTACTACTACTACTACTACTACTACTGCTACTACTTTCTTTTCTCTATTGTCCCTTTTTTTTTTTGTAAAATATGTAATTTGTATTCCCATTTTCGCTTGTTGGTAGTTGTTTGTTCGCTTAGGGCAATTCCGAGATTAAAAAAAAAAAAAAAGTTTAACAATTGTATTTAATTTTAAAATTTTTTCCTGTTACCAGTTTACGAGCTATTTCTAGGAAGTAACATGGTTATGTTTAGTTTTGTTATTGTTATTAAACAATCCCGCATTATTAGGTAATTAAGCTAACATAGCTGCCTTGGACCGTGCTGTCTTTTGGATTTTGACATACAGCATTGTACATCGCAGGTCAAACCAGTTAAATTAATGCGCGTGGATCAACATTGACTTTACATTTGATTATTGGTGTTCAATCTTATGAAAAATTTATGCTTTTAGTAAATTATTACCATAGACAACTTTTACATATTAATTTAAATTTAACTAAAATTCATTAAAAATTTGTCTATTATCGTCTAGAACATTATTCGAATGAAAAACTATTTTTGCAGTGTTCATTGTGATCAACCATACTATAATGAGTATGGATATGGTTGTGAAATTTAAGCATATCGATATATATATGTGTATAAATATATATCGATATGTATATTTATATTTATTTATTTATGCGTGCATTTTACATTATTAATTAATGATTTAACAAGTTTTTAATATCATTTGAGTTGTGTATTCCATTCCATTGAACTATATAGTTAAAATTAAAATTCGATGATTACTCAGCAGCAATTCGAAAAAAAAAATTTGAATTTTGATATTACTTAATAATATTTGATAATCTAAAGTTATCTTGTTTAAACAATTATTAACGTTAAAGTAGCATGAATTAATTCCAAATACTGTATCGGTAATTATTAATTTTTTATAATTATCGATTTTGGTAAATTTGTATATTATAATAAATATCGGTATAACAATCTATATCGATATATCGATATATCGTAAAAAAAAAAAAATTTTACGCATATTACTTATTTACATCGTACGTAATAATGATAATTGTTACAAACATTTGATTTTTTGATATATAATTCATGTTTATATAATTCATGTTGACAGTATTAATTATAAATTTCGAACTTATTCTAAGGTAATCTTTTGAGTTACAAGTTTTTATTAATATCAAAACTGATATTATATTCAGACCTTAAAACTTTTATTAATAAGATCATTACAGTAATAAGTTTCTAAAAAAGTTTGCTTAATGATAATAATTGTTTAACCTATTTTTTGTTTAATAAAAGGTGTGAATATTAAAAATAAATATATATTAATTCTTTAAATTAATAAAAATGCTAGATGGGGTTTTGGTTCTATAGCTTAGCAGGTATGTTTTCAAACTCTTTACAGGCAAGATTAACAGTTTGAGTTAGGTTGAAAGAAATTTTGTTACTATAACCTATTGGAATTATTAATCAAATGCAAAGCTTTGTAAAAAAGTTCAAGTATAAGTACAAATTGAAATAAAGAATTCTTGATTATAGAGTACAGGCATTTTGTATAATAGTAATATTATAGAAAGTTATAATTATAAAAAATTGTATATATAAATCTTTAAGATTAGAACAATATCAATATTTTTATATTTTCTAATATAAGCAGTATTAACATCTTTATATTTAATATATAAAATTGTTGCTTGTAAAAATAATTACAGATTATATAAATAAGTTCTAATTGGAATTCAAAAAAAGAATTTAATTAAGAAAATAATTTAAAAATAATCAAGTTTGAAATAATAAAATAAATAATAAATATAAAAAAGATTTATAATAAAAGATTAGTTTAACTAAAATTAGAAGCATTTTTAATACAGTTAAATAATCTTATTGATCTTTTTTACAAATTTAGTCAGAATACAAAATTATAAATAACTCAACAAACAGTATAAAAAATATATAGAAAAGTATTAAGAAAAAAGAAGCAGACAGGCAAAGCATATAAGTAAAATACAAAGTTGTAGCAAAAAAAGTAAACTATAAAATATAGCAGCAGTTTTCATTAAAAATAAAGAAAAATTTAAAAAAATTAGAATTTTCTAAGGAACTACAGTTGATTCAGAAAAGAATAAACAATTACATATAACTAGTTATCTGAGCAAACAACAAGTAAACGAACACAACATATACAAATTTGGAAATAAACAACATGTACAACAAAATAAACAAAGAAACAGGAATAGAACTAGATATGCAAAATAGACTAGAACAAGATTTAGAAAATATAGAAGCTACATAAACACAGAGTTTACTTAGATATGTTAGTAATTATGGGGTAAAGTAATAAGATATACAGATAGTAAAGAAATCATTAAAGTTTTAGATACAACAAAACCAGCAAGCCCAGATGATATAGAATTAATAGCAAAAAGCTTAGTAGTAGAAGA